GGCATAGTCTTCCACATAATCGAAGAGGCAGAGCCTGCCATGAGGTTACAGAGACATAATTTTGATTTAATCAAGGAGGCAGAGCCTACCATATAATGATCAATCCCGAAAAAATATAGCCTATTATATGTCTTTTCATAAATAACTAGTAAACCTAGCTTACTATAAAATCAAGGAGGAGATATAACCTATCACTCCATAAATAATACATAAATTTAAATTTAGATCAAAAACTCATAAATCGAAATCTCACTTTTCTAGCATGAAACAGGCATAAACCATTTTTACGTTTTTGGCATATGATCGGATAGATGATCGGATAGAGAGACTATCGTGCTGATAATGTGTTATAAACTACTAACTATTATAGTGGGATAATACGTGTGTTCTATGGATCATATATGTGTTTGTATTATATATCTATAGAGAGAGACGAGAGAGGAACACACAAACGAATAACCAATTCATCTTATTATTCAACACAAGTACATCTCCTATTTATAGGAGGAGAAAGTCGGCAAGAGATAAGTCGGCAAACATACTTCATGTTGAAGTAACAATATAATATCAAATAGATAATAGTAAATGGATAATTACTATCTTTTCATAATAATTTAATTGTTTTTTTTACCATTCTACCATATTTTAACTGTTATTAAATTATTAACATTGTTTAAAAACAATTTATATCACTGCAAAACGGTCAATTCATATCTCAATAGTTTTTACACGTCCCATTTCAATTATGTACGAAAGATCTGTACGAATACATGTATAACAAATGAATTTAAATTTTATATCCAAATTGTGGTATTTTAATTTATACATACTTTGATCCTAACTCTGTTAGTCGATCCATTATTATTTTCATACGTGGAATCCCAGTCATTTTTTGTATGTTTTCATCTGCTTTTAAAGAAGGGATTCATATTTCGGGATACGTTACTACAAAAGACTGATAGAGAAAAAAAGGGTGATGTTCTCTAATCAACAACTAACGAAGACAAAAGAGACTCATAAATAGGCCGGTTAGAGCTTATGCATCTGGTCGACTGCTGTTCCACCACGAATTTGCTGCATCAGTGAAAAAATTGTCCAATAATCATGTCTTCACCGACCCTTTTGGTGAAGTTAGGACAAATTGCTCGAAACTCCTAAGGAAGAAATGATTTGAGGAGACATTTGAGGACTCTTTTCAGTATCTTCACCAAAAAAATTCTTATTTTTGAAAACAAGACATGTATGACTGCTCTTCACAATGAGAAATTCTATAATTTGAATTTGCTACCTCATTTTGACCATATATTTTCGATGGCATTTGAGGACTCTTTTCGATGTCTTTGCCAAGAAATTCCATGTGCATAAAAAAGTCCATGGGATCAATGCATAGTACGAGTATCATCCCCACATTATCTTTGAAAAAACAGCTAGACATAGACCCGTAGTGAAGCATTGCCTCCATATGCCACAATGTCAAAAAAATTTATGTTTTACGCCTGTATTGATAGATTCAATTTGCGTGCCCACTGTTGAGACATCCAAAGCAATACAGCAATGAATCTAATATAATATTGTAAAGTTTTTTTAAATGTAATCTATGAGAGGCTGTCATGTGTCTCATAATTTTTTGATATGTGTTATTTTCTTTTAGTTTAATAAGTTACATTAATTAATTTATTTTGCTTTAATAATTCTAAGACAAATACAAAAAAAACATTTAGCAATTAAGTATATACATCCAATTGATATTTGCTTTTGTTTCTTACATCTTTCAACAATATTTTCCCATCTTTATTTATTTTAGTTTGGTTCAACAAAACTATTATATTATCAATTTTGTATTTTTAACTAATACATATTGAGAAAATTTTTAATATCCATAGTTACATTACATTTTATTGACTTGTGATATTTGTTATACATATTAAATATCTTTTGATTATCCATATTTACCTAGTTTCCAAATGTCATGTTCTTAAGTTCGCCACTAGTCAAGCTTCTGTTGTGTCAAAGTGTCATTTTTTTAGAGGCAGATTTTGTTTTGTGCTAATCTATTATCTTATATATATAATGATAAAGAGAGTTTAATTGAAAGAAGAAAGTGTCT